AACCCATTGCTTTTGTTGGAAATTTTTGGTTTTGTTTTATAAAAAAAAACTTTTGTTTTTTTGGGGGCAAAAAAAAAAAAAAAAAAAAAAAAAAAAAAATCCTGGTACACCTAAAAATCCTAGGAAACGCAGGGAATTCTGGGTAATTACAACCAAAATAAATGAGCCAAGCTAGGGCTAGCTCGAGCTAAGCTAAGGCTAGCTTAGCTCGAGAAATGGCTTATCTTCACAAACCTCTGGATTTGAAGAAAGTTACAAAAACTGTTCTCGCTTCCGGCATAGAAATAATTTTGGGGATTCTAACTGACCTAAAACAATAAACATTTAATCTGATTTAACTTCAGCCAGTGAAAGAAAAAGTGTCCGTCTTATTTTTTTTATTAGGTGAATGAAAATATCTGGTTTCAACTGTAAATGACGCTTTTCAAATTTAGGCTTTTAATCGAACATTAGATTGAACTTTGTTACAAAACTGTGCAGTTTGAATATCAGGCACTTTCAAGGACTTTATAGAGAAATCAAGGAGCACTTTCCAAACCTTGTAAACACCTAAAGGAAATTCAAAGATTTTCCACGCGACACTTAGAAGATCCAAATAAAAAGAAACGCCGACCGACATTATGTAATCAAACATGACAAGTCCAGTTCTGGCCAGAGCTTGTAAGGCCTAACTCGTCCGTGTGCAACAGATAACAGAGAAGATTCAACACTGTTGCCCTTTTTTTTGTCTCCCTCTCCCCTAAAGATGGGGAACAGGATGTTCTCTCGGGTGGCACTGCAAGGATCAGGATGATTTGCAACCAGGGAGCACTTTTTATCAGCACACGTCAAAACGCCTCGGAGTGCGAAACGTCGAGTCTGAGGTGATGAATATGAGCTGCATTCTGAGCCGGAGTGTGAAGGCTGCAAGTTTGATCTTAAGTTTTTTTCTGTTTGAAGAGTGCATTTATCTCAAATGTGTTTGGGTTTTGCTGCAGATGCCCACTACAACGTTTGTTTTATTGGGATTTTATGTGAGACAAAGCGGTGGATAATTGCTAAGAGGTCAGAAAAAGAAGCAGAGTAAAGAATACGAAATGTAAATTGTGAATATAAATGTAACCAGATTCATTTTAACTGGATTCCGAAATCCTAAAGAAAAATTAGATGTAGTGACTCTTGCAAAATAAATTTCTTCAGAGTCGTTACAAATGGTTATGGAGATTATTTCTTAAACTATGACTAATATTCGGGGGATGGCAGAAAAGCCGTTATTCTGAATTATTTATCTCTTTCTTTTCCTTGTTTTTAGATGCCAGCGTGGCGCTGCCGTTTTTGAATCATTGAAATTGGACCAAACTGTATTCCTACGATCAGTACTGTACATTTATGTCTTACTCTTTCTGTATCTTGCAGCTGCTGCACTGCTGTGCTCAAAGAACTAAGTATATCCTCTCTTAATATGATGAAAAAGTACAAGTTATAAATAATCTGCTAATGGAGCTTTTTCATCAATATTAAGAAATCATTTATATAAATCAAGCTTCTATATTCTGCCAAAAAAAATATCTTTTTTATAAAAAGTTTATTTTATCTTGTTTCAAGTGTATGTAGGCGTTTCTTTTCCTTGTGAATGAAGTGAAATGTCATTTGAAAGATTATTTATATTTCTTTATAGGTGTTTATATAGGTGTATTCATAAGTGAAATAATCTGCCAGTGAAAGCAGTTTTTCATCAACATTAAGGAAGTATTTACATAAAACAACTCCTACGTCTCAATGAAAAGTTACCTATAAGTCAGTTTTGTCTTATTTCAGGTGTTGTAAGATAACTGCACCAGACGTTGAACCAAAAACTCTTGGTAAGGTTTTGTCTTTGCAGTGTAATGAGGTGAAATGCCACTGGAAGACTACTTTTTTTTTTTTTTTTTTACAGGAGTTTATATTTTTCCATAAAAACACACCGATGTTTTCCCTGATATCCAAGGTGACGGAGCCTCTCCCTACCTGTGCCGATGAACAGCATGTTGTACGCCCGCTGGTCCAGGCCGCTGACCCGGTCCACCGCCAGCTTGGTGAAGTTGACGCCCTTGGTCAGCAGCAGGGGGCGACCCAGAGCTTTGTCCTCCATCAGTGGGTGTTTCTTGGCGAAGTTGAGCGTGGCGTCGGGCAGCTGCAGGGAGCTGTTGTAGCCGTTCTCCCTGTCTGAGTTAGTTATGCACTGCGGCGCAGGGAGAGGATGGAGAGACGGGGAGAGAGAGGGGAGAATGGAGGGAAGGAGACTTCTTAGTTGGCGCTGGCGCAGGTTGGCATGGTTAGTTGGCGTGGAGGTTGACTGCCCTGCCTCCCCTCCGTTTGCTCCATTACCTTCCTTCCTTTCCGTCCTGGCCCATTATGCCCTGAGCTTTTTCGTGACGTGCCAGCTTCAACTGTTTTCCACCTCCACACTTCTCTCTCTATCACCTGTTTCTTTTCCTCCCCGCTGCCTCCCTCATTACCTCTCTCATCCCACCTCTCCTGCTTCTCACGCTGTTTTTTTTTCCTGCTTCCTGAAATGTCCCTGGACTCTGAGTGGGGTTTCGTACCGATCCGGGCCGCGGGCTGGGGGTGGCGCCTGTGTATCGCCCCCATCTCTGGGACGCCTCCCTGTACTCCTTGTAGGAGCCCTCGAACACCTTCTTCACGTCGCCGATCTGGTACTGGCACACGGCCGACACGTCCACGTCGCCCCTGAAACACGACAAGAGAGGAAGGCAGTCAGCCGTGTGCGGCGGGGAAAAAGTGACGGATGAATTATCTGTCTGCTGAATGAAAGCCTGACACGGGCCAAACGGGACGGAGGACGTGAAAATAAGAGAGAAACGTGTCCGTCACTGGCATGTCAAGTGAATGTGAGCAACAAAAAATAGTCATTTCTATACATAGAAATATGTCTTGTAAAAGGGTTTTAACAAATCCCATTGCTACTAATAAAGCCGCCTTCACTTCAATGTCTCTCAATAGAATCTACTGCAACAAAATGCTTCAGAAACAACCTAAATGTTACAAACGATATCCCAAGTTGGGGTATTTCTGTCATTTATCACAAAGAGTTCTTGTAGAGTTTTGATTTGATTTGATTTGACAATCAATTGTTAAACTTGAAAACTGATGTAGACAGGCGTCAATTCAAAAAAAGTCAGAATTCTCATTTTATTTTTATTATTATCTTCCAGTCTTGGCAAAAGCTCTTTAAAACAAAAGACATTTATTATACATCACAGTACATGACATGTTGCAATGGTACATTAGCAAAAGAAACGAGTGACGACCATTTTAGTAACTGGATGTGCAAAGCTGACGTTGACACAACTCAAAAATCTGTGATGGCGGCTTACGAAATCCCAGCCACACTTTTCAGATTCGCAAACAATTTTGAAAACTGTCTAAAATGAGTAACTTTCCTTGCACTTCATGACGTCGTTGCTGCATTTTGCGCCGCTCTGTCACATGAAATCCTGACGAAATCCGCTGACGTTTGTGGTTGGACGGTAACAAAGTGTGAAAAAGAAAAGGCAGACAGATTGTGTCGGGAGAAGCTGGATTATTCACGTTGCTGCAGTTTTTGTATTGAATAAACTGCCATATTGATACATTTTCCACTTTTTGTGGCAAATGCATCTGATGTTTAAACTCTTGTAAATAATTTAGGCAAGTGGCGGCTGCTGTGACTCAAGAGTTGCATTTCGTTTAATATTGAGGCTATTTTTCTTACACACACACACACGCACGCACACTCGCATACGCACACACACATCTCACACAGCAAGTGGGACTAAAACTGGCTGTTGACTCGTGACCCAGGCAGATTAAATTACATTTGTCACCATCATATGACATTTGATTTCCATTCTCATCCACTGGGAATGAGTTTCTTTCCCTTCTGTATTCAGCCACTCAGACACTGACATGCAGGCAATGCCGCTTACCAAAAAAATGTTGTGCACTTGTACTCAGGGATCTGTAAAAGTCACAATTTTCAGCCTCCTGCTGTTTTTTTTTTGTGTTATTGTTGGAAACATTTATTGATGTACATGGTTTTAGATTTAGCTTCAAAATGGATTGCACACTGCAGTGCTTTCACAAAGCTGCAAACAACCGAATAAGATTGTTTTTATGAGCTTATGTCGTGATTTATCTGGATGGGGGCAAATTGGGAGGAGAGCTGCTGATTTTATAATGTCAAAACTAGATGGCAGCGTTAAATTCCTAATGGGTTAAGCAAAAAGCATCGACGGTGACCTTCTGACTAATGTTATCTCTATCAAGGTGAGGCGGTATAGAGCCGTTGCAGCATAACGTCACACGCCCAAAGTCCCGCGCCCTTTTCCTGCTGGAGGGCAAAAAGATGCTCACTGATGATGACTACCTTTGGTTTTAGCTGTTCGGTTGTCAATATACCACGCTAAATCTTAAATGTGTGATATGTAAAGGAAAAAAGAACGGAGTGCTTTTGCTACTAATAGTCAACACTATGACGTCAGGAAAAAGATTCAATAAAAAAAAAAGTAGCTATGCTAGCTTGACTTTGACAAGCTTAACAAGTAGACGTGCTGTGGAATTCTGTGTGTTTTGGTTTAGTTACAAAATAAAGAAAAAGGCGACTCGCACACCAACTCTGACAGATCATCAGTAGAGCAGCTGCTTAAATTAGCTAACCAACCACCACTGTGTTAAATCAGCTAATATCAGTGGTAGCTAATCTACCATAGCGATCATTTAATACTTGCAAAATAAACAACAAGTCTAAAAACATAAAACTGTAACAGACTAAATGTTCTGTTCTTCGCGTGGGAAATGTTTATTTTCTTGGTGGTGAACTTCGGTATATGTAGAGGCGTTGTTGTCAGTTGCTATGACATCAAGTCTGTGTGTAACGTAGCTGAAAAAGAAGAATAATACTAATGTCTGAGTTGCTCTTCAACTGTTGTTCTGCATTTTGTGGTGCAGTGCACTAAATTAATAATCCCTACATCTCCAGGTTTCAATTGAACTGAATCGTTCTACCGCCGTAGCGCAGCTATGAATGTAAAAGAACAGTCGTTTTTCACTTCAGCGTTGTGCACATGCGTGAAATTTTCAGATGAAACAATAGCATGCAAGGGGTCAGTAAGGTCGAAGCCTTTCAGCAGCTGAAGAAACCCCAAATGAAGAAAGAAAGCTTGTGGTTCAAAGCCGCGACACGATATCTTACTGAAGAATACAAAAAGCTCACTTCAAAGGCGTCCGCCTGGAGACAGAGAACATCTCAAACTTTCCTCCAAAAGAGTCCCCACCCCCACCTGTACCTGGCTGGGACCACTACAGTTTTACAATTGGTCAAGCAAATTACAGTCTTTACAAAGTGGCTGCAACATCTAAAATATTAAATAAGTTTGCTAAATAGAAGAGAGAAGAAGATGTTTTCGGCATGTCTTATCATAAATGTTTAAGAGGTCTAATTTATGGAGGAAATTACCAGGGCTGTGATGGATTTTGGCTTCCAGGGGGAAATAAAGCAGCTGGGTTGTGACGCTGAAACCAGAGGGTATATCTGTCAGCTGTAATCTTTATTCAATAGTTTAGTTAATAGTTGTAAATTGCCGTCGTATTTGTGTTTATGACGGAAAGATTTAAATCTTACAAAGTACTTCTGGTCTCTTAGAAAAAAAATCTTAGGACATTTGAAATAAGGCAAAACTAACTTACGAGTCACTTTTATAGCAAGAAATGGGAGCTTGTTTTAAATAAATAATTGCTTAATATTGATTAAAAAAACTACCAGTTCTACCAGGAGACTTTTTCATGTATAACAAGACATTTTCTCCATATTATAAGTGAACTATTACCTTTTAAATCAATACTAATCTCCTGTATCTTGCTGAATAGTTACTTGTAGGTTGATTTTGTCTTTTTTTTCCACACTAATTTGCTCCATAAACTAGACAAAAATACTTGGTAATGTTGTTTGCAGTGTTGTAATGAATCAGAGTTAATGTTTAAAATCATAATGTTGGCTGGTTAATAGATAAATGTTATTGCTCCTTTTCTCCTCTCAGCTTCATCTCCCTCAGATCAACTGATCTTAGTTGTCCGAGGTGGAAACTTCAGGGAGACTTTTTCTGTTTCTGTGTTTAAACATCAGACAGACATCATTATTTATCCTCATTCTCCTTCTCTTTCCTGTCTATATACTGTGCAATAAAGGCCACTAAACTTAAAAAAGGTAATGGCTCTTTTTAATGTCTCTGTTCTGTTTTAAAAGTGTTTCATGTCTTGGATTTATCTGTTTTATATATCGGGACCTTTAGCAAATGTACTGTTTTTAAAAAATGTGCTTTATAAATATATTAGATTTGGACATTTTAATACTCCTACAGTGGCCAATAACTGTGCTGACTGAATAAATGTTGGATCTATCTAGTTTTGATTGTTTTTTCTGTGTATGTTATGCTTCTGCTGTAAACATGAAATTATCCTCCAGCGTTTTCAGTGTTTCTCTAAGTGGAGACCTCACCACCGTGGTCCTGACGCTGCGGCTCGTCGTTGTCGTAGAATCTTTCAAGGTCAAGACAACGGTTCTCTTTAGGAAACAGATTTACCGCCATTTAAAACCACATTAAATCTGTGTGACATTCAGCCTCTAATAAAAGCAATAAAACATATCCAAGGTCGCCCGAGTGGTGCGCGCTCTAAATGGCTCACATCTGTAACAGTAATAACTTAAATTAAAACCCCACAATTACACTGTAAATATCTAATCACACAAAGTACATCAGAGGAGCCATCTTATCAGAGCGACTCGCCGCTCGGCGATTTCATTAAGGGCTTCTGACACGTCTGCGGCGGGCGGTCAGCGGAGCACTAATGCGGTAATTAACTCTACCGCTGAGTCTGAAATATGGAGTAATGCATCTCCGGCGTCCGGTCGCGTGCCTTTTCCTCTCATACTGACCACTGAGCGTGAAAGATGCCGTAGAAGGTCGTCCCTCGCCAGTCGGGCCCCGGCAGCGTGAAGACGGCCCGCAGGTTGTTGAAGGAAACGTGGCGCTCCGGCAGGGAGCACTCCAGCCGGGCTTTCTGGAAGGTGGTCCACTTCTTCTGCAGGGTCCTGGTGCCACCCAGATCACCCTGAAAGAGCCACACACAGCAGCTGAGCCTCCCTCTTTTCACTCCACATGTGGTCCACATTGGATCTGAGGTGAGCCTTCGGAGCCACATAAAGATGGTTACAAAGTCGGCCTTGTATCGCCTCGCAGAACATTTCTAGGATTAAAGGACTAATGTCCCAGCAAGACCTGGAGAAACTCGTCCATGGGCTTGTCTTACTGCTGGACGATAAAAGTTACTGCGATGATGTTTTTGTTTCTTAGACCTTTTCCAAGCGATAAAATAATAATGGTAATAGTACACACTCTTAAAGATCAGTAAACATTCATTTGTAGTGAACATTTAGTAATGAACTTGAAGACATTTTACATAACCAAAAGAAATAAATATCAGAACCAACAGATAAAGTGAATTATGACGTCTCTATAAACAAAACTGTCCTTCAAAAACAGGGACTGGTTGAGACCAATGGACTAAACTAAAGACTTTTGTAAATGTAAACAATCAAGCTGGTTTTAATTTATCTTGTTATTAACTGAATTATTGATTATTGTGACAGGTCTAGGAATGAACAGATCTCTGTGAGATGTCCACAGTTTCAGATTTTGCATTGTAACGTAACTTTGCTTCAAGCTTTTTCTCCAGTTTTATCCCTGACCTGTCTGCCGTCCTCCTGGATCTTCATGACTGTCTTCGTTCTCTGATGTTCTCTAACAAACCTCGGAGGCCTTGACAGAACAGCTGGACTTTTACCGAGACCAAATTAAACACAGATGGACTTCATGTACTAATTAGATGACTTCTGAAGGCAGTTGTTCTCTCTGACTGGACCGTAACGACACGTTGTCGAACAAAAACAAAGACGGTAACGACATCTTCAAAGCCGACGTGGCTGAAAGAAACAGCCGAACTCTGCTTTTTCGCAAACTGATCAAAGTAATAGTCCGCTGACAACATAAATATACTCAAACGGCCAGTCGGTGGTTTAAGCAGACGGATATTTTTTGGTGCTGAACTCAGAAATGTAGGATTACAAATGATTTTTGCTGAACGCTATTTTTCATACTAGATACGCTCTTTAAGCTCCCAGGTTTTTTCTTCTTCTATTTCTTTTAGCGCTTTGTTATATTGCATTTCATTAGCCTCCCCTTCACCCCATCAAAGACAAATATCATCTTTATTCTCCCTCTTTATCTGCTCAGCAGTAAATCTGTTCAGTTTGCCCCCGCCGACTGAACTGTTGTAATTGCACGTAAAGGCTTTCAAATCCATTCTGACCCTCAGATATTGAAGTCTGATATGAAGGACAAAAAGAAGGAAAATAATAACGCTCATTAAAAAAAAAAAAAAAAAAAAAAAAAAAAAAAACGGTAAATGTGTAGACAGGTGGTGCTGGATTGTCTTCTTCTTTGTGCTCAAAGGAGACCCAATTTGTTGAATCGTTCCTATTATCCTCTGCAGATGATGTAAAACAGGATTTAGAAGGTGCAAATGCATGTGGCGCAGCAGCAAAACTCACAGAAGCAGTGCAACGCGTGCTAAGCAAAAAGAAGGAAAATAATAACGCTATTATTAAGCTATCGGGATATAGTGTGATCCAAACAATTCAAACATCACAGTGCATTAAAGAACAGTCAAGCACGTCTCAGGGAAGAGGCTGCTGACGTGCGGCCGTAAGGACGGCGCAGCATCAAAGCTAATTAGTTTTCCTAATGAGGCCATTTATTTTGAAAATGAATAATTAATTAGCAGATATGTCCACGTCAGTGTGATTGTCTGTCTCCGCATGGGCCGATATAAGCAAGGTGGCGACGAGCCGAGAGTGTGTTGCTCCTGCTGCTTTGGGTTAAAATAAACGATTTAAAAGCCACTGATCACTCTTATTCTCCTTTCTTTGTTTGGTAGCACGCGCTCTCCGCTGTGTTCTTCTACTGCACAAGATATCCGGCTGTTTTGGTTCCTACTGAACATGAGTTAGCTTTGTACAGCTAGCTTACACTGCAGTGCCAAGGCTTTCGGGGGGTGAATTGTTTTGCCTTCTTGGAAACGTCTCAGTCTTGTTGGAAGGAGATCATTTTCCCAACTCTTTCCACAGATTCTCAGCTGAATTTAGGTCTGAACTTTGACCCGTAGTGCAAAGCTGGCAGGTCTGTGCCACATCTGCATGCCCAGAGGGAGGTTGTAAAATTTAGCTTATTCTTTCTTGTACAATAGATCAAACTCAGTCAAATTAAATAAAGTAAGTCTCAATAGTTCAGTCCAGACTTTGATTAGAGACCACTGAAACGTGTTATAGCAATAAACTTGATTGATTGCTTAATTTGCAGTGGCTGTAATTAGTTGAACTGTATTTTATAGTGGGGTATCAGAGTTAAAGGGGCTGAACATGTTGAATTAGTGCAGTAGAAAATCCATCTATCATTTTCCTCTGCCTTCTACTCTCTATTTTATCAAAGTGAAACACGAGGAATACTTTTGCTTTGCCCTCTGCACTAGATTATTCCTGAAACAGCTCTCTAGCTGAAGCCCACGATGGTTAGCACATTATTAAGTTCTCAGAAACAGCTGCCAGCACAGCTGGACGAAGTAGAAAACAGCTGATTCCCAGACGAGTCTGCAGAGAAGCGCGAGTTCACGTCAAATCCGTCCCTGCGCTCCTGTATTAACTCTAACTGCGTTAGCCGAGGCCAATCGGTGTTGGAATCGGTGCGTGTTTACGGAGCCCGGGCCGGCCTCCGGGACGGATCGGGTTACCTTGCAGACGCGGGCCACTCTGGCCACGGTGAGCTCGGTGTCGCAGTCCAGCTCCAGCGCTCGCTCGCTGAAGAAGAAGTAGATCTTGTCGTCGTCACCGTCTTTGCTGCCGCTGCTCTCCCTCACCAGGGCCGAGCCCACAAAGTCCGGCTCTGCGGACACACACACACACACACACACACACACACACACAGGCACAAAAAGGAGATCAGAGGGTGTATTTTTACTCGGCTGACATATATCACAAGTGAGCAGAGACGGTTTCAGCCTGCAGGCCTGAATCACACCCCACGCTTGCTAGCTTGACACGTCCATCTCATCCTCTGTCGGCCTTTCTCACCTCCTCCTCTATTTGCTTTCATCATCCCCCTTCGCCTCACCTCTCCACCAGTCGTTTCTCACTCTCCGTCTCTTCCTCTGCTCACTATTAGCGATCCATTTTGTGTTTTCCCCTTTCCTCAGTCACTGCCGTCTTCTTTTTTTATGTCTCTGTGTCTGGGCCTCATTAGATTGTAGATATTGCTTTTTCAAGACAATCACGCTTTTTTTTTTAAAGAAAAAAATCTTAGCTGCTTGGGGCTTCAAATTCATTTTTATGGCAAAAAGTTTTTTTTAAATATATATTCCGTGAATTTACTGGCTGCCCAGACAGACCATTCTTTTTAAGGTAGGAGTCACATTTTCAGCCGTAATGGGATGGTGTAAACTCTTCACCGAAGCCCAGACCAATTGAAGGCTTTTAGTTTGGTCAGAAATGGCTTAAATTGAGGTGAGTCTGGTTTCATCGCAGGTCTGGTCTTAAATAAATAACAAAAACTTCAATATCTGTATGAATAATAAACAGACATGCGAGGCGGAAGCTGCGCCTCATCTGTATGCGCCTCCTTTCTTCGCGTACCTCCCCGTCTCCTCTCACCTCTCTCTCTCTCTCTGACTCTTCATCACCATTCCTAATGTCTTGTTTTTCCATCATCCATTTCTCCTGCTGTGACTTCATCCTCTTCTCTCCCCTTCATTTCTTTCCAAGTGCCTCACTCTGTCCCCCGCCTCCTCAACCCAAATGATAACAATCCTTTGTCGTAGCTGAGGAGCGAGCTTCATGCTCTCTGCTTTTTTCACCTCAAATTTCAGGCTCGTCTTTTAAAACGACGTGAAGCTTGATGAAAATTAAACATCCTCGTTAGCTTCCACCGTTTCTGTAGCCCGTCTTTACTCCTCAACCTGAGTTAATCAATCATATTTTAAGTGGGTTTTGGTTCTAAATCAAAATGCTGAATGTAATTTAAAAGACTAGCTTGGATTGGTAAGCTACACCAATTCAAAGTGTGTTGGGGTTCCAGTTTTACTTTCTTCCCACAGAGAAACAGGCCCTGCTAAGGTAACGCATGGACCTATTAGACCTGATATAACGTTAATGCAGCTGTGATTTAGAAATATAGACGTGCTGCGTGTTATCGTTTGCATCTGGAAATTTTGTGCATTCGCATAAAGCCGGAGAGTAAAAAGACGATTCTTTTACTTGCCATCCGTAGCAGTGCTGCTGCGGTAGAACGATTCAGCTAACAAAATGAAACCTGGAGATGCAGGTATCATTAATTCAGTGCAGTGTGCCACAGCAAAGGGAAAGTAATGCAAAAAATGGTGAACAACAACTCAAGAGTACTCATCTTCACACTCTCTGTGTTGGCTACGTTACATGAAGCAACAGACGCCACTAATGTATCAGGATTCAACAATGAAAAACACGCAAACATTTCCCACACAAAGAGCAGAACATTCAGTAATTATGTTTTCAAACTTTATGTTTATTTTTGCGATTATTGATAAGTGGTTGATTAGTTAATTTAAACACCTGCTCTGCTGATGATATGTCAGAGTTGATGTGTGGGTTTCTTTTTTCAACTGAGCCAAAACACGTTGAATTCCACAGCACATCTACGTGTTAAGATTTTCAAAGTCAAGCTAGCATAACTGACCTATTTCCCTCTCCTTCACTATTCTTTTAAAATTAAAACTTTTTCCTGACTTTGTTAGCTGTCATAGTGTTGACAATTAGTAGCAAAGCACTGTGTTCCTTTTCTTTTATGTATATATCACACATACGCTAAAGATTTAGCGCGTTATGTTGACAACTTGAAAGCTTAACCAACGGTAGGTATTGTGAGTGAACATTTTTTTGCACATGACGTCAAGTTGCAACCCGTCTGTGTTTCTTTCATCTTTACAGAAAGCAAAACTTTTTGGTGGTAATAGTATGAAAAGGTAGAAAAAAACAGTTTATTTATTCAAGAGCTAAAAACAGAGATATAAAGGTATTTATGTCAACATTTTGAACTTTTACAGGCTTCGAGGATCATGCATTTTAATGTAAAAGGCAAACAGTACAGGTTGTGCACTGACAAGATGTTTTCTATACATCACCAGAGGCAGTTATGTTTGTTTTCAGGAAAACAGACAACTTTACAGCAAAAATTTAACTTTTCTATCTCTTTGAATGAACTGCAGTAACATAAATGACACAGACAGATGAGGAAAGGGAGTTCATTTGTATTTGTAACAAAAAGAAAAGCACAAAAAAGTCCTTAATTCTGTAACAGTGACAAGTCTATTACATGTATTAATAAATGAGAGGTCTTGCGTTTGCCCCCAGCATAATCTGCTCTCTTTCTTATGCTTTCCATGCTCGACTGAAAAGCGGCTAAATTTAGACTTTTAATAACATGTTGAAATAACGTTCCCTTCTAGAGCAAATACAGACCAATTTTAACCTAGACATCTGTGGACACATTAGATGTGTTTTTATTGAAAAAATAAATCTCACAGGGTTTTTCTGGCCACTCTATAACCAAAAACACACAGGGTGACGTTAGCAAGCTAACCTGCTGCTAGCTACAGCTGAAGCAGAATTATGTTTATAAACAAGTACGGGCCATTTGTAGTACTAACGCATATATCAAGAGCTGCCCAGAAATATATGGCTCTCATACAATACAGTTAATTACAGCAGCATACAGAGGTAAATACTTCAAAATTAGCCATACCACTAGCTTAAAGTAAGTTCCAATTTTTTTCACAGATGGGGCAGAAAAGTGTTTAATTTGACAAAGAATATGAGAGAAAAAAAACATTTCATGGATTGACAGAGAGATAGAAACTTGTCTTTATGAATAAATTTCTATTTAAAACATTTATTGTATCTTACACAGCTCTCTCATGTTTTTCATTAATCTTTAGTAAGAACACAACAGCTCATATTTCCAGCACTAGTTTAAGAACGGTCGAGTTCATGTTCCCAGAAAACTACATCTATTTTCAGCTTGGCACTATGAGTTATGTTCATTTTGTTTCTAATGGATGACTCTCAGTGATGTATAGCCGACGGTGGTTATGGAGTTGGAGGCCGTGTGAGAGGTGTCCCAGCTCGCTGAGATGACAAAGTGAGAACACACACAACGTGGTGTGTATTCACTGGAGACATAAGCTGAGTACGACTCAGGGGTCACCTCCAGGAAACAGCTGTACCTCTGCTTTCTGCCACTAATGTTTGCCTGTTCTGTAACTGTACAGGTTATTTACAACAGCAAGTATAGGCAATAAAAGCTACACTAGGCTAGCAGGTGATAGATACCCTGCCATTCAGACAACAAAGTCAGTGTGTCTGCTTTTCTCAAAAACATCTTAAATTCTTGTATCAAAAAGTACGGTTTTGAAATGTCTTAAATTCATTAAAAAAATTAAGATGCCCTTAAATACGTTAATCACATGCCTTACATTTTATTGTAAGACGTGT